TCCTCTTACAAAAGGAAATACTTGTCTTCTAAAGAGGCTTCCTAAATGTGTGCCAAACAACAGATAAAACATGTACACTGAATTAATGACTTCCCCATGCCTATTCATAAGGAACAATACATCTTGGCCTGAAAAGAAAACATCTGACCTTAACATCTTCACCTGACCTTAACAAAGAACACTCCAGACCAGAGAGCTAAACAAATAAATTTCTTTCCTGACAGTGAGACCCTTCTCATTCAAACGTTTATTACAAAGGGGTTTGTCTGTTATGTTACCTTTATTCGACGTTTATTCTTCTTCATACTTATCAAACTGTTGATGTATACTTTATGTACATATATATTTTTAATAGCATTGGATTAATTGAACCTTTATGTATATCATGATGATATTCGTCATAGATAGGTATGATAGGCGATCCTTTGTTATATATAAGTTCATTACTTTTGTGTGAAAGCAGAAAAATAAGAAACTCATGATTGCAAACGTTTGAATGAATCGGTCAAATAATAAAGCAGTTATGAATGTTTGCAAAATGATATCTCTAAATCTATATGCAAATCTCAAATTAGCAATTGGGTCAATGGATTGTGATGTATTCGTGGACAATTTTTTCGTTTTTTGTGTACAAAATATCAGTATTTTCTAATTTCCTCTTTAGTGCCTTCTTCCATGGGGCATTCCTACATACAATTTATTATGGATAGCATATTATATTATATATTTTATATGATATGTGTTTTTATTTGTGTTTGAAATAAATTGAATCGAATTAAATTGAAAATATTGCGAGAATCTCAGTTTGAAAAGAAATTACATATTTGCACACCCAATGACGTTAGAATACCAGTCATTCAAAAAGGGCATTGACTGGAACGCGGTCCTATACAGAGTGAGTCAGAAAAAATGTCCCACTTTTTAAAAGTTGTAATGTTTGAAGTATGAATATGTAATCATGGGTTTCATGATATGTCTTGATAGATTTATCCTCCTAGTACATTTAGGTACTATTTTCATTTGAATCTCGGCATGCATGACTGAACATCAGACAATCTTTACAAGACTGCCAGATCTCACTTGCACCAAGTTACTGGGTGAGGAATAAAACAGTGCATTGAACAAAGACAGTCAGACAGACACACACACACAAGCGCAAACACACACGCACACGCAAACACACATGCATGCACGCACACGCAAACACGCACACACAACACACACCGTGACAAGTGTTTCATAATTTCCCCTTTTCTGATTAAGCAATGATTTTTTTTTATCAAGATCGCTGAATGTTTGAGTGGCATAGCCCTGACAATATTTCCCTTTAGTACAAATTCACTACCACCATCATGTCATCATCATCATCATTGTCATCATCTTAATCTTCATCATCATCATCGTCATCATAAAGCACAACATCCGCCAATACGCACCAAGAGGACAGCGGCCACTCAACTTTTCGTACGAGAAGAAGAATTCCCGACAAAAAGTAACAGTTTGGGTGGGCCTTGTTTGTCTGGCAGTATGTGTTCAAAACATTATTTTATTCCTCACCTAGCTACTTGGCGCAAGTGAGATATGGCAGTCTTGTAAAGAATGTCTGATGTTCAATCATGCATGCAGAGATTCAAATGAAAATGGTACCTAAATGTACTGGGAGAATAACTCTATCAAGACATATCATGAAATCCACGATTAAATATTCATACTTCAAACAATACAACTTTTAAAAAGTGGGACATTTTTTTTCTGACTCACTCTGTAGAGCTCTCATTGCTTCATCAGTCAAGGGTTTCATACACAAATAATTTTGGCAGATAAAGAATAAATCGCTGAGATTATTACATGTATCATGCGTGTGTGTATTTGACAACAAAGTGAACGCTCTTAGAATTAAATTGCATGTAGGTAACTGCTGGTTGTTTTTAGAGAATTACCCGATTCTTGGCAATGATTTTAAACTTTGAGCGCCACAGGTTTTGACCATTCTGAGGGGCAATTTACTTACAACATATATATATTTCATACAATCAAGCAATATATATTGGGGGTGATATTCTGAAAACTTCTGACTTTCAGATTACTGAAAAAAGGGTATTTTAAGGTTATTTCAACCCATAAATTAACCTTCAGTAACGACTTTCTTGGATCCAGTACTCCAGTTCGTACATACAATTTGACATGGACAAATTTAGGTTACTTTGTACAAAAGTTAAAATATCTGAGGATGTTTGAGGTGATTTGAACCATGTGCTAATTACGAACTGGTCTACACTTTATTCTACACAGACCGATTTAATTGTTGATGTTTATGTGTGACCAACCCTATCTAACCTTATATCTCAGTCCTACCAATGAAACCGATCCTCCTATCATAATTATCTTATTTCCCCTACCCGTATTATCCAAATCCCTTTTAAATTCAAGCAGAATCTTTAGTCTCTGTAACCACTTTCCTCTTACTGGAAAATATACATTACAATGTTTCATAATTTCTAAACCTTGTTGAATATCTTTCATTGGAATGTATCTCCCGATTTGATCTGAAATCATGATCATGACTAAAATAACAACTTCGAACCAAATATATATATATATCTTCGTTATCAGAATATTTTTCCTTGCACTCAGAAAATATATGGGATCTTTCGTTTTTTTTTCCCTGATTCCTTTTTCATTTAAGAACAGAAAAGTACAAGAAAGGATAAATTGTTAAAATCCATCACTATAACAACAATATATTCTGAACACTTTGGAGGACAGTGGCACAACAATAACAAATCATTACATTGTCTTATTAATATAATACAAAATAAAGGTGATATTAAAGTAGTTGTAGTCCACCGAAAAAGATCCTCGAAGAAATATAGAAGTGAACCTTATCTTGTAATACGTACTACAACAAATCAAATACAAAGACATCCACGTGCACCCAGACCAGAGCAGAGCACCGATTACATTATCCACAGAGGCCAACAATAAGTCAGTTTGAACTCGTTGGGGCCGGTACGAAGCCGGTGTGCCAGTGTGACTGGGGTATTAATCATACCTCCAAACCGACTTCAAACCGACCGATTCTCTGCGATTCGGGGCAATATATTAGTGTGTCCGGTCTTTTGTCGGTCTGGCATCTTCTGTTAGTTGAACAATCCGTGAATTTAAATTTCTCTATTTCATTTTAAGAACTCATTTTCAAAAAAGAGGATGTTAGTTTATCTTCTTCACTAAAGGCCCGGTCACACAGGGAGGACGCATGGGGAACGCACGGCCAGCGCATGGGAAATTTGCAATTTTGGCCAGTGCGTTGTCGTGCGCCCAACTTTTGTCGAAGCTACAGCGAGCTGACACCAAATGCATAGCGTGTTGCTAGCGCGCTGGACGCATACAGGGCGCACACAGGGCGCATACAGGGCGCATACAGGCCGTATCCAGAGCGCACATGTTAACAACTTCCACGAATGCACAGCGTGTTGCTAGCGCGCTGGACGCATACAGGGCGCACACAGGGCGCATACAGGGCGCATACAGGCCGTATCCAGAGCGCACATGTTAAAAACTTCCACGAATGCACAGCGTGTTGCATCCATGGATGTGGATAATTCCACGTTATCTAGTGCTGGTGAGAAGCAGTAGGGAGATAGGGACTCGTGGTAGTAGTTCAAATGATATAGAAGGATAATTTTGTTTTAACTCTTAAACATTGAGTTTTTTTCTGCCTATTTTTACATGTTTATTGACTGTTAAGTTGTAAAACAAGTTGTAAATAAAAGAAAGTATTGGTTATTGTTTGTTATCAAGAGTTAACATTAATTTTAATCAATAAGTTTTTATTTGCCCATTCTACTTAGTTATAAAGAAAAACGTAAACAAGTTTTTAGAAAAAGATCGTGTTGGCTATTTAATAAATATTTTGTTTGAACTTTAAGACAATGCGTTTGTGTTTGCTTATTTAACATGTTATGGAATGGAGAGAGAGAGAGAGAGAGAGAAAGAAAGAAAGAAGAAGAGGAAGAGAGAAGGATAGAGAGAGAAAATGGAAATAGAAAGAGAGAGAGAGAAAGAGAGGGAGAGAGAGAGGGGTGAGAGTATTGTATATGCAAATAATGATGAAGACAATGTTTATAAACCTCTCACAATTGTTCTGCTTTCATCTCTCTCTTTATCTCGCGTTCATATCTCTCTTCAATCTTCAATATTACCCCCACATGAATTTGTTATCACCGAAAAGCGTGTTTAAGCCCTATTTGTAATGATTGTGTCATAATGGATTGTGCATGATAAGGGGCCAAGTCAAAATCGAAATGTTGCAAATATTCATAAAAGAAAAGGAGAATGAACCAATGATAATCACACATGACCGCCTCGACCTAAAACATTATATCGACCCTCCAAATAAAAGGAGACATTACTATTCATGTTTTTGAGATAAAAACATAATCAAATTCAGGCGCGTACGCAGGATTTTTTCAAGGGGGGGGGGGGGGGGGGGTTAACATTTTTAAATCGGGCCGAAAATTTCGCAACGACTCAGCCAGCCGCTGAGTGGGGGGGGGGGGGGGGGGGGGTAAAAGGACATTTTTGTTTGGTCTCGAAATTTGAAAATTTGACATTTTGCTCGGTTGGGGGGGGGGGGGGGTGTAGGGTCAACTTTTTTAGGTCAGCCATTGGTATAATTTTTTATATTATTATTTTTGTTTTTATTTTTATTAAAAAATAAAAAAAAACATTACCAAAGGGGGGGGGGGTTTAACCCCCAACCCCCCCCCCCCCCCTGCGTACGCGCCTGATCAAATTGTATGCATTTTGCAACATTTTTGTTTTTGACTCGTTTCGTGCAGTGCCTTCTATACCCAAACTCAACTATCCCTCTAAATGAATTCAACACAGTACTAGTAGTTAATTTTCAAAGGACATTTAGATTTACTTTATTTATTACAAATATATCATTCAATCAGTCTCTCCTTCCATATCCTTCCGAACTGCGGAGGTGGGGTGGTCTAGATCATCCTGTCTTGCCATGGAACTGAGCCGGCTTCGGAGTTGGCCCAATGCTTGATGAGGTTCCTCTGCTTTTTTCCTTCCTTGCTGGAGGTGTTGTTGCCAGAGACTACTTTGGTGTCCTGCATGTTAAAGCCAGATCTCCACGCTCCTGGGACGTAGTCGCGACCCAGGTTCTCGGCACGGTCAAGCTGCTGGTTTTGCATTCCTGGATACCGAGTCCTCATAAGATTGTGGAGGATCATGCATGCTGTGACAATGAGCTTGACGGTCTCGGGCTGCTGCTGCATCGTGCTCAGGAGAACTTGGAATCGGTTGGCCAGGATGCCAAAGGCATTTTCGACGACCCTCCTGGCTCGGGAAAGCCGGTAGTTGTAGATGCGCTTCGGTCTCGTCAAACCCCGGAGGCTGTACGGCTTCATCATGGTGGGTCGTAGAGCGAAGGCATCATCGCCAACGAAAAAGTAGGGCATATCCTGGTTATCGTTAGGAAGAGGATCGGGATCAGGGAAGCCTAGACTGCCACCTTCAACGCATGCCTTCAGCTCAGAGGCATTGTAGATCTGAGCGTCTGATGCTGATCCCATACCACCGATGTCCGCCCAGATGAATCGGTAATCAGCATCAACGAGAGCCATGAGGACAACGGAGTAAAACCCTTTATAGTTGTAGTATAGGGAACCACTGTTTGAAGGACGCTTGCAGTTGACGTGCTTTCCATCAAGTGCACCACAGGTACGAGGGAAGTTCCACTTCTCCATGAACTTGTCAGATATGGCACGCCATTCCTCAGGAGTGGTGGGACACTTCATCATCTCATCCCTGTACTCTTTGATGATGGCTTGGCACACTTCTGGGATGAGAAGGGATATAGTGTTGTGAGGCACTCTCCACCCATAGGACATTGAACGATACTTGGTTCCAGAGGCAAGATCCCGTAGAGTGAGGGCAAGCTTCAGGCCCGGATGAAGGGCATCTCTGTAGTTTGTTTTCTGCTTGGTGATTCTCGGGCCCACTCTGGTTAGCAGTTCGTCGAACATCTCTTGGGGCACCCGCATGAAATTCTTGAAGGCTGCCTGGTCTTCGTTACGGAGTTCATGCACAAGAAGCTGATCATACAGGCCGAACTGTCGTCGCCTACCGATCCACGGTCGAACCCAGAATCTCCGTTGATTTCTTCTCTTTATCCTTCTCCTGATGACATGGACTTGGTGAATTGCCAGCTCCATGAGGCTCTGCTGATGTTGGAGAACCGCAATTTCGTATTGTAGGCGTAGCCTGTCGTGACCATCCATCTTCTGAGGTGTTTCTTCTAGACAAGATCAGTAAGAACCTCTGTCATCACACATGAGGGTCTGTGGAGAAGTGATGACGAGGTTGTTGTTGTTGTTTGTTTGGTATTATCGGCGATTCATTCTTTTTGAGAATATTTACGTAATAGGTGGGGCGGAACCCGTTTAAATTCCCTTTGGATACTCGCTAAGTACACGCCAGGTATACGCTTGTAACACGCCAGGTATACGCTAGGAACACGCAGGAAGGAAGTCGGGTGCGCTAGAGACACGTTCAGCACGCGTTCAGCACGCTCATGTTCACTGGACATGCGTTTGAAACGCGCTAGGTATGCGCTAGGCGTGCGCTAGGCATTCGCTAGACGTCGGCCGGCGAACTCAGAACGTATACACAGCGTGTGCTCCGCGCATGTCTGGCGCTGGTCTAGCGCGCTCCACGCATGTCTGGCGTGCCTTTGGCGTGTACATTCATGCGTCGAGCTCGGCGCACGTTTTTGAGCATGCTCAAAAAATCCCGACGCACACAGCGAATGACGACGCATGCATAGCGCTGGTCCAGCGTTGGTCCAGCGCGCTCGACGAACGAGTAACGAATGATGACGCACGCCTAGCGAACGACAACGCACTGGCCCAAATTGCGAATTTCCCATGCGCTGGCCGTGCGTTCCCCATGCGTCCTCCCTGTGTGACCGGGCCTTAACAAAGTTCTGAGAATGTATTAAATATGAGAATATTGCAAATGCATGAATTTTGAGCGAAGGGCTCGGGTATGAAGTGCATATTTACATGAAGAGAGACGAATAGTAAGCACCTTGTTAGCAGTTTATAATGCCTAATTGATGAAAATATACTGACAAATTTGGTTTATATCCTGCCAATTCTAGAGAAATGAAGCGAGTACTCTACATCAACAGGTTATAGCATTTCACAAACTATAGAGTGTTCAAGAAAAGCGATGATAGAGACCGTATTTTTCGCTTTCTTTCTCCCTTTCGTCTTTCTCTCTTTTTCTTTTTTCCGCAAATCGGAAACCAAGTATATTTTGGCAATTGGTCTGTTTTGTTGTAATACACTGTACAGTAATGTAGTCAGACTTCTGAAGCCAATAGGGATATGAGTGCAAAGTCCAATTTATGAAATGTTTTCATATAATCACGCTTGATTGCTCCTACAGAATAGAAAACGCTACTAAAGGGTACGGGCCAATTTACACAGTATTTCAATGTCACATGACAATACGTAACTTGATGTTTGAAGAGCACGGTAATATCATGATGTGCAAAACGTAGTGGGTGTGAATTACGTTTAACATGGCGCTGTTTTCTGCAGCGGCAAAAGGAGACGTCCAGAAGATACAATCATTAATCGACTCAGAAGACAAGTCCGAGGATTCGAGAGGAGTTGATGTAAACTGCTCGGATGCATCTGGCAAGACACCCCTTCACATTGCTTCGGCAAACGGACATTTGCAAACGGTTAAATGCCTAACCAATCATGGAGCAAAGGTGAATGTAATCGATGCTAACCTACAGACATCGGTTCACTTATGTTCAAAGAAAGGCCATCTTCATGTGGTAGAGCTGTTAGTGAACGAAGGAGCAGATATTAAAATTGGCGACAAAGATGGGTTTACAGCTCTTCACATAGCATCATTCGAGGGTCATGTTGACATTGTCAAATACCTTGTTAGTAAAGGGGCAGAGCTGGAGAGACTTGCTAATGATTATTGGACACCTCTACACCTTGCATTAAACGGTGGCCATCTTGACATTGCAGAGCACCTTTTGACAGAAGGAGCCAACATTAACACGTGTGGTAAAGGTGGATGTACAGCTCTACATGCTGCATCACAAACTGGTAATATTGATGGAGTGAAATATCTAACTAGTCAAGGAGCAGAGCAAAATAAGATCACTGAGGATGGTTGGACCGCGCTGAGTCTGGCTTCATTTAGGGGACACCTTGACATTGTCAAAGTTCTCGTTAACGAAGGGGTAGAGGTTGACAAAGCACTCAGGAACGGGATGACACCCTTGTTTCTGGCAACAAAAAAAGGCCATTTGGGTATTGTCGAAGTCTTACTGAACGTAGGAGCAAATATTGATAACTGTAATCGAAACGGGCAAACAGCACTCCACATCGCATCGTCCAATGGACACGTTGAAATAGTTCATCATCTTGTTAGCAAAGGGGCACAGCCTGAAAAATGTGACAACACCAACATGACACCCTTGTCTTGTGCTTCTCAAAAAGGCCATCTTGAAGTCGTCGAGTGTATCGTTAACAAAGGAGCAGGCATTGATATCGTTGATAAAAATGGATTAACTGCTCTTCACATAGCATCATTCAAGGGTCATCTTGATATTGTCAAATACCTTGTTAGGAAAGGGGCACAGCTTGACAAATGTGACAAAAACAGCAGGACACCCTTGTCTTGTGCTTCTCAAGAAGGCCATCTTGAAGTCGTCGAGTATATCGTGGACAAAGGAGCAGGCGTTGAAATTGGTGATAAAGATGGGGTTACAGCTCTGCACATAGCATCATTCAAGGGTCATCTTGATATTGTCAAATACCTTGTTAGGAAAGGGGCACAGCTTGACAAATGTGACAAAAACAGCAGGACACCCTTGTCTTGTGCTTCTCAAAAAGGCCATCTTGAAGTCGTCGAGTATATCTTGTACAAAGGAGCAGGCATTGGCATTGGTGATAAAGCTCTTCACATAGCATCACTCGAGGGTCATCTTGATATTGTCAAATACCTTGTTAGTAAAGGGGCAGAGCTGGAGAGACTTGATAATGATTACTGGACACCTTTACACCTTGCTTTAGACGGTGGCCATCTTGACATTGCAGAGTACCTTTTGACAGAAGGAGCCAACATTAACACGTGTGGTAAAGGTGGATATACAGCTCTTCATTCTGCATCAAAAGCTGGTAATATTGATAGAGTAAAATATCTAACCAGTCAAAGAGCAGAGCTGGATAAAAGCACTGACGATGGATGGACCGCACTTAGTTTGGCTTCATTTTGGGGACACCTTGATATTGTCAAAGTTCTTGTTAACGGAGGGGTAGAGATTGACAATGAACCTAGGAACGGGATGACACCCTTGTTTCTCGCAGCAGAAAGAGGCCATTTGGGTATTGTCGAGGTCTTACTGAACGTAGGAGCAAATATTGATAACTGTAATCGAGACGGGTTAACAGCACTCCACATTGCATCGTCCAATGGACACGTTGAAATAGTTCATCATCTTGTTAGCAAAGGGGCACAGCTTGACAAATGTGACAAAACTGACAAGACGCCCTTGTATTGTGCTTCTCGAGAAGGCCATCTTGAAGTCGTCGAGTATATCGTGAACAAAGACGCCGGCATTGAAATTGGCGACAAAGATGGGTTTACGGCTCTTCACAGAGCATCATTGGAGGGTCATCTTGACATTGTCAAATACCTTGTTAGGAAAGGGGCACAGCTTGACAAATGTGACAAAAACGACAGGTCACCCTTGTTTTGTGCTTCTCAGGAAGGCTATCTTGAAGTCGTGGAGTATATCGTGGACAAAGGAGCAGGCATTGAAATTGGTGATAAGTATGGGTTTACTGCTCTTCACATTGCATCATTCAAGGGTCATCTTGATATTGTCAAATACCTTGTTAGGAAAGGGGCACAGCTTGACAAATGTGACAAAACCGGCAGGACACCCTTTTCTTGTGCTTCTCAAGAAGGCCATCTTGAAGTCGTCGAGTATATCGTGAACAAAGGAGCAGGCATTGATATCGTTGATCAAAATGGGTTAACTGCTCTTCACATAGCATCATTCAAGGGTCATCTTGATATTGTCAAATACCTTGTTAAGAAAGGGGCCCGGCTTGACATATGTGACAAAAACTACAGAACACCCTTGGCTTGTGCTTCTCAAGAAGGCCATCTTGAAGTCGTCGTGTATATCGTGAACAAAGGAGCAAGCATTGGAATCGGTGATAAAGATGGGTTTACAGTTCTTCACATAGCATCACTCAATGGTCATCTTGATATTGTCAAATACCTCGTTAGTAAGGGTGCAGACCCGGGGAAACTTACTGATGATTACTGGACACCTTCAGGCCTTGCTCTTAATGGCGGCCATCTGGGTATACATGACTTTCTTTTAAATAGAGAAGCAACAAAGATCGTTAAGCCATTCATTGGGTTTGAAGAGGACCACTATGACTACCTTCGCAGTACTTTTGGTAGTAAGGCTTTCCCTGGCTATATGCCCCCATCCTCCCGAACATGCGATCCATATCGTACCAGTCCACGAGACAGCTCTCGATCCTCGAGGAAGAGCAGCACAGAAGAGACAATGATTATTAGTCTTGACGAGTACAGCATCAAGGTTACACTTTCACCAGACGATGTGGACAGAGCCAAATATATCACAGCAGAAGCATTGACAACCATCCCACCTGACTTAAAGCTGGAAAAGGACGAAGTTATCATCTCAGTTGGGCTCAAGCTATCCCCTCCTGGTCTTCAGTTTAAAACTCCGGTGGAAGTCACGGTCTCACATAGCGCTATTTTCACCAACCCTGACAAGGCAGAAATTATGCTATACACCCGAAGGACTGGTAAGATCTTCCTATTACCATAGATCCCATATCTCCATATAAATTCCTTTCCCTTCCGTTCCTTTTATTTCCCTCTCTTTGTCTAATCTTCTTTGATTCGCTCTTAGATTTATATTGAATTGAAGGCATCTCGATTTACACGAGACAAGCTTTTGCTAAAAGTTGCCTTCTTTTTTTGTATCAAAACTGTTGAGATGTGGTGGTCTCGTGGATACTTAACCGGCCTGCAGATCACATAATTCATGTTCGCGCGGCACTCAGGCAAGACATAAATATGAATTTGCCACTCTCCACTAAAGTGTTTTATGGGTACCCGGCAAAGGAACATACCACGGTACGTTCCCATTATCATGCCATATGTTATTACGTGCATTACACCGCGTCTGAACTTTGAACATATCGAGATATACGTGGATCAAGAATGCTGCACAAGACTTATATAGCTGCTTCACAAAAATAGCATAGCCGAGTGAATATAGGTTTCTTAGACTCGTCTTATATTGTAGATTATTGACATTTCCTTTGAGCTCATTTCTCGAAGGTCTTTCTGCTCGTGTTTGAAAAGAAAATAAGCATTTTTACAGTAACTGTTTCAAATTTGATGTCCGTTATGAATAATGAGGCGCGATAGCTCAGTCGGTAGAGCAGTGGTCTCGTAATCCGGTGAAGCAAATTTCAATGATAACTTAGCGCACAGTGCAGTCTCTGTAACAGGTCCATTTCTACCACTGATTATTGTCGGTAATGAAGCTTTGACCTGAACTTTTCAAAGTGTGAGAGGTATCGCGATGAATTGATCTAGAGTTCTTTCTCATTGTATTCAAACATATTGGCGTTGACTGATTAAATTAAAATGGATTCAATCAGTTAATGTTCTTTGGTCAAACAAAAGAAAAACGGAAGGGAAAGGGGAAAATATGTTGTGACAGTGCAGATAGCCCCTGACTGCCACGACAAACACATAGCAATTAAGACAGAGATCTTCACACAAAATTAATACTCCCTTACTATTCTTGGTATCATAATGACCTCACTTCAATGTTGATGTTCCTCTCAGAATGTTCTAATTCAATGAGTTTTACTTGATAATCTTCTATTAGGATGGAAATTCGCTTAAAATAAAAATGTTTCAGTCTTTGTGTTTGAATGACTTATAAGTCGCACAGTTCATACAGCCGCCATTTTCAAGATTCTTGTGGAAAGATCGAAAGGAATTATGAGAATGATTGAATGCATAAAACATTTTTAATAGCCAATCACCAAAAAGCAATTGACATGTTTTTACGTCATTGATCATGAGTAAACAATGACCCTCCAACAAGGCTCCCCAATAAACCCGCAAAACTTGCAGAAAAAAATACTTGCTTTCTTTATTTGTGAAAGTAAATCCCAAAGTATGACAGTTCACTGCGTAACAAAATTAACAGGGTCCCCTATTTTTTGTTTTCTTTACAGAGTCTGATGAATTTTCAAGGATAGTTCCTGCTTCTGACAAAGCTGCTCGGTGTGTAGTCGCAAAGAATCACCTTACTCTGTACTTAGACCATTTCTCGGAATGGTGGATTATCTCCTTAATCAGGAGATACTTCATCGGTAAAAGGCTCATCTGTACGCCATACGTTCCCCTATCAACATACAGAGACGAGTTGAACCGCATCTATCTCGTCATTAAAGACGACTTCTACGGCATGAAAGAGGTATATTTATCCTAAATTAACGGTTCGGCATAATTTTAGCTGAAAAAGAATTTGAAGTCTATTTTAATATTTATTTAATTTAAATAAATTGTATTTGTGTCTCCGGTCTTTTTGTGGTTACGATGTCAATGTTTGTGTGTAACGTTTTCTGAGTAGTTAGGTGCGTACACGGGGGGGGGGGGGGGGGAGGGGACGGGGTGGTCACAAAAAATATAAAACAAATCACAGATATAATATTCAAACCCGATAAACGTTTCACATCTTGAAGTAAATATTCAGTGTATTTGAGTACCTTCATTTGCTGCAGTGCCCTCTGGAAGAGCGGCATTATTGCAATTATTGCAACTATTATTAGTATGCTCTTATTACTATTATTGTCTTTATAGGATACCATACGAGACTACCAGGTAGCCTTTCTTGGTGAGCAGTACTGTGTATATTGGGGAAAAGGACCCCTTTCTGTAAGACATCTGGAAAACAAAGAGGAAGTGTCAAAGGAGGTAACAATCCCAATATAGTTATTATAGTATTGATGACTGCTTTGAGAGAAATAGTTGTTTTTATACGCTCAAGGGAAGGTAAGAATTGTGCTATTGCCCGAGGCGTGCCGAGGGCAATAGCCCAATTGTAACCTTCCCGAGTTTACTTTCCCCGAAGTAAATTATCCTGACACACAAATCGTCCGTTAACTATTCTGCAGGTCCTAATAATATGTTTTTTACATTACAAATGATATAGAGTTTTCTTAAAGCGATACCGAACTGATGAACTTTCTGCCTTATCGTACTGTTCATTGCACAACATCATCTCATTATAATATAATTTAAGGAAACTCGATTCAAACATGGGTCATAATTCATGGTATAACTTTTAAATTACGAAAATGGTACCGTTCCTTATAACTTCGTAGGGTATTAATTGATGGTTATCTCTGATTTTCGTAGGAACTTGAAGAATGTGCTTTCTTTGACATGACGACCCATCGCATGCCGTTCAATCTTCAGCCACGTGAACAAGTAGTATCCAGAGTTCTCGTCACTCTCATCTTGAAGCAAAAAATCACGAAGAAGATCACCTTCCCAGTACAGTACAACGGTAATATCAAGCGCATGAATTCTTTTCAGGGGAGGGGATGGGGAGGGAGGGGGTGGCTTAACGACTTCCACTGGCAGTGCTGGCAGAGAAATAGTATTCTTGTACAGTTTCAGGAAAAATTATTTGCCTGAGCGTCGGACAAGCTGTAACATATCTTCAGATTAAACCCAAACATAACACTCCAATAACATTTTTTCTTTCATTTGAGATAATATATAATAACTTGTGTATTGAGAAAGACGTGAGTTTACACAAATTTTTAACGCATTTTTATTGAAACTGAACGAAATGCTCCCCAAAACAAAAAAATAACTTTCTACCAGTTTTGTCGATCCTGGCACTATTTTTCATGTGAACAGATTCTACACCGCTGGTACCAGTGAATTTCACCCCACATCATTGGAAGTATGCTAGTGCGTTTATACTGGTCCAGTCTGTAGGTATATATATATATGTTAAATGTACAATTTGTTTACGTGCAATGCTAAATATTTCATTTAGGGTAGCAAAAGAACCATGACAAGTTACTCCTATTTCGAAAAAGTATCATTTTAGGCTAATCGCTTCTCATCACTTTGATTTCATGTATTCACAATTCAGATGTGCTGCGTGAGAATCCAGTTCCCCAATCAACTCCGACAGGATCTGCATCGTCCAAAGGCAAAGCTGAACCAACTGATGTTGGACGGAGATCATCCAAATGTAAGATTTTAAAACAAATATTAATACTAGTTTTCTCTTTTTTTCATACACCAACCTTTTGATATGCAGGTCATCGTTTCACTAAACCGTCATGGGTACAAATGAAACAGGAATGTAAAATAACACGCATTCAATGGAATTTCGGCGAGCTTGTTATATGAAACAATTTCCTTATTGTAAAGAGACGATTGAAACGAAATCGAACAAATAACCATGTATTTGTGCTTTTCTGTTTCCATTCTGATTTGATTTTGATTGATTATTGCATCATCAGCACCTCAGCTCTCCGAAGAGCAGACAAGAAGCGAGCATGATCTTGGACCGATAGGTTCAACATCATCTGAGCCTGCAGACACAAAGGGTAAGACTATGTCCTATCAGGAGCGGCTCTCGAGGAATACATGTGTATGTATATGTTGTTGTTGTTGTTTGTTTTTTGTTTTTTTTGGGGGAGGGGCAAGAGGGGGGTAGCAGGGGGTGGGGTCATCTAGCATTTTGTTCTACATGTGCTTCTTTTGGGAGAAGGGGGGGAGGGGCATTAGAACCGCTACTGCGGCCTATATTCTTGTAATTGGCCTTTGTTTTAAATATCCTTTGATGTATTATCAATGTATTTTTATACCGTATAATTTTTACTCTGTTAATTGACCAATTTCATTTCTTCACTTCATGTTCCATCATTTTATCTCAACGATGTCAATGAACCAAACTAATACATTATAATTCAAGGGTCGACTTGAGATGATAACGGATCAGTCAGACTTCTTTACAGCACAGGTCGGAGTCTGGTTTAATCATTTTCTAAAACCTTTTTTACGTTGCTTTATTTCAGACGGAAGTAGTCATACTGATGTCTTAACACGACCTGTGTCGTTGACTTCGCCATCGATAGAGTCACCGTCATGTGAACATGCCTACCAAGCCACACATGATTTGGTAACAGAGACAGCAGCAATCGGTAAGGAGTTAAAAGACAAAGTCGTGTTCTGGCTCTGTAACAAACAAAAAGTCAATTGTATCTCCCAAAAATTAATTTTATCTCCTCAATCAATCATAACTTTAAGTTGAATAGTTACCGACATTTAATTGCATGTTACAGATAGTAACGAACGAACATCCTTTGCCAAAACATGAATCTATAAATGCTACATTCGACCAATGTGCAATAAGTTGGCGGGTTACCTGTAACGGTTGCTGGAACATAATCGGGGTAATAATATCTAAAGCCCTTTAGTAGCGCATATATTGTGATATACGCTTATTTTCTTTACATGCTCTACGGAAATTTAAACATTGTAATTGATTTACGTCATATTATCTTTTTGTTCGTTTTGTTTTAAGCTCCGACATCATCGACAGAGCCCATCCATTCATTAGATTCTGCAGAAGAGGGGAAAGTGGGAGTCTTAGACCGACCAGCATTTGTGGAAAACGTTGTCCAAGAATTCGTTCCAGAACTTTCAGGAATTCGAAATAGGCACCAGCGTTCTAGGAACGTCTATATCAACGTCAACAATATCAAAGTCATCAACAATTCCCAAGTGAATAATCCTCATGGAAATATTGCTGCCCCTGCCCCTGTTGCAATTAATTCCATAGTACCTCCTATGCTACAGCATGAGCTGCGTTGCCGGTTGAACAGAGAAAGCCCAGTGTTTGATGACTGGAGGGGTCTTGCCAATCAGCTTGAACTTGACGAATACATAAAACATCTGGAGCAGTGCGAGAATCCGACTAAGGAACTACTCGTACTTGCTGAGAGTCAAAAGAAGATTCAGAACCTTGGGGACTTGGCTAAGGCGTTTGAACGCATGAATCGTGGGGATTGCCAAGAGCTCTGCGAGAACTATGTGTTTGGGAGAACAAAGTCAGCTGATCCTCGGAAGGATCAAATGAAAGATGATGACACAGACACCAGTGATTAGGGAACAGGCTCAATGTGTTCCACATCACCCTTTAATCCAGGGTCTATGGCTCGTTAATCGGACAACCTGTGAACATAGCAATATATGGTTGTTGTAATCCACCTACAGTCTGTCATTTGGTTTAGAAAACCACAATCATTAGATTTGCTCGAAAAATATAAAGCTAAAGAAAAGGTATACTCTAAGGTTCGTATTCCCTTGATCAATGAAGACATATCTAGAGGGGAAATATCATGTTTAAAATAAAAACTTATATCTCAGACCAATTTCCTTTTTGAACCCGCTTTTTGGACAAAAGTCTAAATGCAGCGTCGGCATTAAATATTAGTACGATTCAGGCCTAAAAACTTGACCAAGCATTGGTTAAAGAGGAAATATGCAAGTTTGTTGGGTATATACGTATATTACTACATTATACCCCGTATTATGTAAACTTTTACACTCCTGTTATACGCTGCACTGCATCAAGATTATTACATTGATTGCTTTTACAGGAACGAAGAATTGAGATTCACTCTTGGCATATTCATCGATTTAAAGAAAGCAATTTTGACACCATTAATCTTAATGTACTGCTAGCTAAACTCTTTAAGTATGGCATTCGAGTTTGATAAAGATCCAGATTGTTCAATGTGGTCAAACGTTATCTATAAGGAAAAAAGATAATATATGGTGTTCCACAATGATCAGTGCTAGGGCCAACTCTGTTTTTATCTATATAAATGATCTGTCAAGACCGCCATCAGTAACTGATTATTTCAATTTGCGGCTGTCTACCGATGATTCTAATATAATTCATACTTTTCCAGCTCACCAGGGCGACATTAATGTGGATGAATTAATGAAAAACACATGGAAAATTGTAAAAAATGGGTATAAAGGGTAAACTGAACATAGCTGGAGAGGAAATCCAAGCGGTTGATGTTGCCACTTATGATAGAAATCTGCCATGGAATAGTCATATTCGTTATGTTAATCAGTGTATCAGGATTGCTACATTTTGTCCCTAGGCGTACTTTGAGAGTATCCATTATCATATAAAACGTGGATAAAACCACACAGGTGTGGGGAAGCAATATAAGGTTAGCCTATTAAGAAGCATATTGTATTCACCAAAAATAGCAGTTCGTGCTTTTTTCATTTAGAGAGTGAATTACTCATACAGCTCAACTACTTTCATGTTTGATCTGTTTAATAAAAGTTTGTCTCATATGTTGATATATAGTGTATAGAGTATATATATAGAGAGAGTATAGTTACTCCACAAGGCAAACAGAAGGTTAACAATTACGTCTGCCAAAATTTAGAACGAAACATGGTCGATTTCCATTGTCTCTTGTGGTTAGTTTCTTGATTACCTATAATGTCAGATTATGTTACAACACATTTGTTGAACAAATCATGAATCGAAAATCCATGCAAATAGTCTGTATGTGTACAACAATTATATTTCGTATTTTGTAAGACATTGTTAAAGTTAAATATTTTTATAGTATTGATTGCAATAGTACATTAATTTCTTTGTTTTTGTTTTGTTTTCTGAAAGTTACTTGTACAGAATACATTGTTGAGCTGTGCATAAGGCGTTAGGGTCGACTAGCACATATGCTATTATCCGCCCAATTTACCAACCAATATTTTCTCTTCTTGTATATATAAATATCGTTGTATTAAATGAATAGTACTGTTCGTAAATAAATCTATCAAATACAAAAATCTAATGGAAAAAATAATAAACATTGACAGGATTGTAACCAGAAAAGTGATGTACATGTATATGGAAGTGAATTAACATCAACTCAAATCACATCAAATTAAATGAATTCAACATTTGAAAGTATCTAGAAGGAACCACAGGTGTTAAATTGAATATTATGTTTCAGATAATTAAAACAATTAGCTCCTGTGGCCAGGAGCAAGGCAAGACCAGCGATTTTATTGCCTTTCATATGCGAGTATCCTTTTTTTTAATGTCATTAAAAAACAAAATATATATAAGAGAGAGACAAAATCTTTATAAAGAAGACAACTAAGGAAGGAAGAAATCTGCCAAATTAAAGGGGATCCCTTATAAAAAGTTATTACCTTTTGCGTACTGAGATCCTTCTCATTTAAACGTTTATTACAAAGGGGTTCGTCCTTTATGTTACCTTTATTCGACGTTTATTCTTCTTCATACTTATCAAACTGTTTGTGTGTACTTTATGTACATATATATTTTTAATTGCATTGGATTAATTGAACTTTTATGTATATCATGATGATATTCGTTATAGATAGGTATGATAGGCGTTCCTTTGTTATAAGTTCACTAAATTTGTGTGAAAGCAGAAAAATAAGAAACTCATGATTGCAAACGTTTGAATAAATCGGTTAAATAATAAAGCAGTTATGAATGTTTGAAAAATGATATCTCTAAATCTATATGCGAATCTCAAAATTGGCAATTGGGTCAATAGATTGTGATGTATTCGTGGACAATTCTTTCGTTTGTTGTGTACAAAAATATCAGTATTTTCTGTTTGTCTCCTTAGTGCCTTCTTCCATGGGGCACTCCTACATACAATGTATTATGGATAGCATATTATATTATATATTTTATATGATATGTGTTTTTATTTGTGTTTGAAATAAATTGAATCGTATTAAATTGAATATATTGTGAGAATCTCAGTTTGAAAAGAAATTATATATTTGCACACCCAATGACGTTAGAATACTAGTCATTTAAAATGGGTATTGACAGGAACGCGGTCCTATACAGAGTGAGTCAGAAAAAATGTCCCACTTTTCAAAAGTTGTAATGTTTGAAGTATGAATATTTAATCATGGGTTTCATGATACGTCTTGATAGACTTATCCTCTTAGTACATTTAGGTACCATTTTCATTTGAATCTCTGCATGCATGACTGAACATCAGACAATCTTTACAAGACTGCCAGATCTCACAATACGCACCAAGAGGACAGCGCCCACTCAACTTTTCGTACGAGAAGAAGAATTTCCGACAAAAAGTAACAGTTTGGGTGGGCCTTGTCTGTCTGGCAGTCTGTGTTCAAAACACTATTTTAATTTATTCCTCACCTAGCTACTTGGCGCCAGGGAGATCTGTCAGTCTTGTAAAGAATGTCCGATGTTCAGTCATGCATGCATACATAGATTCAAATGAAAATGGTACCTTTATGTACTGGGAGGATAACTCTATCAAGACATATCATGAAATCTACGACTATATATTCATACTTCAAACAATACAACTTTTAAAAAGTGGGACATTTTTTTCTGGCTCACTCTGTAGAGCTCTCAATGCTTCATCAGTCAAGGATTTCATACACAAATAATTTTGGCAGAAAGAGAATAAATTGCTGAGATTATTACATGTATCATGCGTGTGTGTATTTGACAACAAAGTGAACGCTAATCTGTATTGCATTTAGGTAGCTGCTGGTTGTTTTTAGAGAAATACCCGATTCTTGGCAATGTTTAAAAACTTCAGCGCCACAGGTTTCGACCATTCTAGGGGCAATTTACTTACAACAGATATATATTTCATACCATCAAGCAATACATTTTGGGGTGATATTCTGAAAACTTCTGACTTTCAGAATACTGAATTAAAGGTATGTTAAGGGTATTTTAACCCACAAATGAACCTTCAGCAACGACTTTCTCGGATCCAGTACTCCAGTTTGTATACAATTTGACATTTGAAGGCCTAGGTTACTTTGTACAGAAGTTAGAATATCTGTGGATGTTTGAGGCGATTTGAACCATGTGCTAATTACGAACTGGTCTACAAATTATTCTACACAGACCGATTTAATTGTTGATGTTTATGTGTGACCAATCCTTTCTCACCTTATATCTCAGTCATACCAATGAGACCGCTACCGGACTACTCATCACGAAAAAATATCCTCCTATTATAATTATCTCATTTCCCCTATATCTACTACCCGTATTATCCAAATCTCTTTTCAAATTCAGGCAAAAACTCTAGCCTTTGTAACACCTTTCCTCGTACTGGTAGATATACATTTGAATGTATCATAATTTATAAACCCTGTTAAATAACTTTCATTAGAATGTATCTCCTGATTTGATCTGAAATTAAAGAAAGAACCTTAAAATCTAAATGTGAATTAATCAACACAAGAACACCTTTACTTTGTAAAGTACTATCATGACTGAAATACCAACTCTCATCCCACATTAAACTACATGTATCTTATCAGAAGTACTGTATGTTTCTAGCAACACAATATCTGCATTAAGTAATCCTTACACTAAGTAAATATCTGAGATCTTTTGTTCTTTCCGCCCCCGATTCATTTTACATTTATAAAAAAGAAAATTTCAAGAAAGAGATAGTTTTTCAAAATTATAACAATGATTTATTTTGAACACTTTGGAGGAAAGTGACACCACAATAACAAACCATAATATTGTCTTCTTCATGGATTAGAAAATAAAGGTGATATTTAAGCAGTTGAAGTCTACCGAAAAAGATCCTCGAAGAAAAATAGAAGTGAACCTTATTCTTGTAATACGTACTACGACAAATTTATACAAAGACATCCACACCCAGACCAGACCAGACAACCAATTACATTATCCACAGAGGCCAAAAAAGGATGTTTGAACTTGTTGGAGTCGGTACAAAGTCGGTTTGCCAGTGTGACTGGGGTATTAATCATACCTCGAAAACCGACTTCTTAGCGATTCGGGGCAATGTTATAGTGTGTCTGGTCTGTTGTTGGTCTGGCATCTTCTGTCAGTTGAACCACCCATGAATCAAAATTTGTCTATTTTATTTTAGAACTGATTCTCAAAAGCGAGGATTTTAGTTCATCTTCTTTACTTACAAAATTCTATGTATGAATTCAATATGAGAATAATGAAAGTTATACATTTTAAACAAAGGGTTCGAGTATGAAGTGCATATGTACACTGAGAGAGGCGAATAATAAGCACTCTGTTAGCATCTTATAATAAGGATATATTGACTGCTTTGAGAGGCATAGTGGTTTCTATAGGGTCAAGGGAAACTCACAACCTGCTATGACCCCAAGGCGCTTGCGCCGCGGGGTCATAGCAGGTTGTGAGTTTCCCGAGACCCTATAGAAACAACTATGCCTCGAATATTAAAAGCAGTCAATATATATTTTATATACCGAAAAAAAGGAAAATGTTGACTCACCCATTTAGGTTTTCATTTTGCCTCTTTATTAACAAAAAAATGGAAACAAAAAACCCCAGTATTTTGCGATCGAGACTAGTACACAAAATGGCGATCGGTCGTCTGCGCTGCGTGGATTGGTAGATTCGTCGCCTGAATGCAGCGACCAAAATCGAATTGCACTCAAACACCGTTAACGGTATTGCGCATCGGTCATCGCACAAAAGAAACTTATACGGTAACACGTAAACCAAAATGGGGATCGCAGCAAAATGACGTCACGTTTCACAGCCATGGAAAAAGTGCTATGAAAAATGGATATAAACCGGTAGAGCCGGGAAAAATGACTATGAATTTCAATTAGCGGGCATGGTTAAGAACATGACTGCATTTTCAACCAATCAGAAGACAGGATTAGTAAAGAATCTAAAAATGAGGTATATAATGCTTATTATTGATGGAGATAATACTGACAAATTTGGTTTATATTCTGCCCATTCTAGATAAATGAAGTGGGTACTCTGTATCAACCTATTACATCATTACACAGTCATGTAGAGTGTTAAAGAAAAGTGATCTTATAGGTGGAATTCTTTATCATTCTCTGTCCCTTTCGTCTTTCTCTCTTTTTCCTGTTTTCTCTCATATTTCATATCGTTGTGTGCATGTGTGTGTACGTTGGTTTTCGTTTGTGTGTGTGATGGATTGGCAGGGGGCACGTCATCCAAGCACTGGTTATGAATGAGGCGTAATACAATATTGATCCGCCATGTTTTTTTTCTTTAACGAAAATCTGAAACCAGGTATATTTCAGGCCCCGTAAATAGAGAAAAATGGCAAGGCAATAGTTCTGTATTGTTGCAATACACTGTACAGTAATGTAGTCGGACTTCTGAAACCGAATATGGATATGAATGCAAAGTCCAATTTACAGAATGCTTTCATATAATCACGCTTGATTGCTCCTCAGAATAGTGCAAATAAATAACGCTAGTAAAGGGGTACGGGCTAATTTAAACAGTAGTTCAATGTCAAATGACAATATGCGACATGCTGTTTGGAGAGCACGGTAGTATATACGAGAAAAACGTAGTGGGTGTGAATTACGTTTAATATGGCGCTGTTTTCAGCAGCAGCAAAAGGAGACGTCCTGAAGATACAATCATTAATCGACTTGGAAGACAAGTCCGAGGATTCTGATGGAGTAGATGTAAACTGTTCGGATGTGTCTGGCAAGACGGCCCTCCACATTGCTTCGGAAAACGGACATTTGCAAACAGTTAAATGCCTAACCAATCATGGAGCAAAGGTGAATGTAATCGATGCTAACCTACAGACATCGATTCACTTATGCTCACAGAACGGCCATCTTCATGTGGTAGAGCTGTTAGTGAACGAAGGAGCAGATATTGATATTGGCGACAAAGATGGGTTTACAGCTCTTCACATAGCATTATTGGAGAGTCATTTTGATATTGTCAAATATCTCGTCAGTAAAGGGGCAGACCTGGGGAGACTAGCTAATGATTACTGGACACCTCTACACCTTGCATTAGACGGTGGTCATCTTGACATTGCAGAGTACCTTTTGACAGAAGGAGCCAACATTAACACTTCTGGTAAAGGTGGGTGTACAGCTCTACTTACTGCTGCACAAACTGGTAATATTGATGGAGTGAAATATATAACCAGTCAAGGAGCAGAGCTGGATAGGAGCACTGACGATGGTTGGACCGCACTTAGTTTGGCTTCATTTGGGGGACATCTTGACATTGTCAAAGTTCTCGTTAACGAAGGAGTAGATTTTGACAAAGCACTCATGAACGGTATGTCACCCTTGTGTCTTGCAACAAAAATAGGCCATCTGGGTATTATCGAGGTCTTACTGAACGTAGGAGCAAATATTGATAGCTGTAATCGAGACGGGTTAACATCACTCCACATCGCATCGTCCAATGGACACGTTGATATAGTTCATCATCTTGTTAGCAAAGGGGCACAGCTTAACAAATGTGACAATACCGGCAAGACACCCATGTCTTGTGCTTCTCAGGAAGGCCATCTTGAAGTCGTCGAGTATATCGTGAACAAAGGAGCAGGTATTGGTATTGGTGATAGAGATGGGTTTACAGCTCTTCACATAGCATCACTTAAGGGTCATCTTGACATTATCAAATACCTCGTTAGTAAAGGGGCAGAGCTGGAGAGACTTGCTAATGACTACTGGACACCTCTACACCTTGCTTTAGACGGTGGCAATCTTGAAATTGCAGAGTACCTTTCGACAGAAGGAGCCAATATCAACGCGTGTGGTAAAGGTGGATGTACAGCACTACATGCTGCATCACAAACTGGTAATATTGATGGAGTGAAATATCTAACCAGTCAAGGAGCAGAGCTGGATAGGAGCACTGACGATGGTTGGACCGCACTTAGTTTGGCTTCATTTGAGGGACACATTGACATTGTCAATGTTCTCGTTAACAGAGGAGTACAGGTTGACAAAGCACTCACGAACGGGATGACACCCTTGTGTCTTGCAACAGAAAGAGGCCATCTGGGCATTGCCGAGGTCTTACTGAGCGTAGGAGCAAATATTGATAACTGTAATCGAGACGGGTTAACATCACTCCACATCGCATCGTCCAATGGACACGTTGATATAGTTCATCATCTTGTTAGCAAAGGGGCACAGCTTAACAAATGTGACAATACCGGCAAGACACCCATGTCTTGTGCTTCTCAGGAAGGCCATCTTGAAGTCGTCGAGTATATCGTGAACAAAGGAGCAGGTATTGGTATTGGTGATAGAGATGGGTTTACAGCTCTTCACATAGCATCACTTAAGGGTCATCTTGACATTATCAAATACCTCGTTAGTAAAGGGGCAGAGCTGGAGAGACTTGCTAATGACTACTGGACACCTCTACACCTTGCTTTAGACGGTGGCAATCTTGAAATTGCAGAGTACCTTTCGACAGAAGGAGCCAATATCAACGCGTGTGGTAAAGGTGGATGTACAGCACTACATGCTGCATCACAAACTGGTAATATTGATGGAGTGAAATATCTAACCAGTCAAGGAGCAGAGCTGGATAGGAGCACTGACGATGGTTGGACCGCACTTAGTTTGGCTTCATTTGAGGGACACATTGACATTGTCAATGTTCTCGTTAACAGAGGAGTACAGGTTGACAAAGCACTCACGAACGGGATGACACCCTTGTGTCTTGCAACAGAAAGAGGCCATCTGGGCATTGCCGAGGTCTTACTGAGCGTAGGAGCAAATATTGATAACTGTAATCGAGACGGGCTTACAGCTCTTCACAAAGCATCCTTTCAGGGGCATCTTGAAATCACCAAATACCTTGTTATGAAAGGGGCACAGCTTGACAAATGTGACAAAAACGACAGGACACCCTTGTATTGTGCTTCTCAAGAAGGCCATCTTGAAGTCGTCGAGTATATCGTGAACAAAGGATCAGACATTGAAATTGGTGATAAAGATGGGGTTACAGCTCTGCACATAGCATCATTTAAGGGTCATCTTGATATTGTCACATATCTTGTTAAGAAAGGGGCAAAGCTTGACAAATGTGACAAAAACGACAGGACACCCTTGTGTTGTGCTTCCCAAAAAGGCCATCTTGATGTCGTCGAGTATATCATGACCAAAGGAGCAAGCATTGAAATTGGTGATAGAGATGGGGTTACAGCTCTTCACGTAGCATCATTGGAGGGTCATCTTGATATTGTCAAATCCCTTGTAAGGAAGGGGGCACAGCTTGACAAGTGTGATAAAACCGACAGGACACCCTTGTATTATGCTTCTCAAGAAGGCCATCTTGAAGTCGTCGAGTATATCGTGAACAAAGGAGCAGGCATTGAAATTGGTGATGAAAATGGGTTTACCGCTCTTCACCTAGCAGCATTCGAGGGTCATTTTGAAATTGTCAAATACCTCGTTAGTAAAGGGGCAGACCTGAGGAGACTTTCTAATGATAACTGGACACCTTCACGTCTTGCTTTCAATGGCGGCCATATGGGTATACACGACTTTCTTTTAGATAAAGAAGCAACACAGATCGTTAAGCCATTCATTGGGTTTGAAGAGGACCACTATTACTACCCTCGCAGTACTCAAGGTGGTGAGGCTTTCCCTGGCTTAATGCCCCCGTACTCCCGAACATACGATCCATATCGTACCAGTCCACAAGACATTTCTCGCTTCATGAGCAACACAAAAGAGACAATGAATATTAGTCTCGACGAGTGCAGCATCAAGGTTCCACTTTCACCAGACGATGCGAACAGAGCCAAATGTATCACAGCAGAAGCATTGACAAGAATTCCACCTGACTTAAAGCTGGAAAAAGACGAAGTTATCATCTCAGTTGGGCTCAAGCTATCCCCTCCTGGTCTTCAGTTTAAAACTCCGGTGGAAGTCACGGTCTCGCATAGCGCTATTTTCACCAACCCAGACAAGGCAGAAATTGTGCTATACACCCGAAGGACTGGTAAGATCTTCCTATTACCATAGATCCCATATTTCCATCTAAAACCCTTTTACTTCCGTTTCATTAATTTCCTTCTCTTCGTCCGTCTAATGTTCTTGAACTCGCTTCTTGAATCTTTTTCTTGTTGTGACAGTGCAGAGAGCCCCTGACTGCGACGACGAACCCATCACAATTAGGACAGAGATCTTCACACAAAATTAATCCTTCACTACTATTCTTGGTATCATATGACCTCACTTCAATGTTGATATTCCTCTCAGAATGTTCTTATTCACTGAGTTTTACTTGATAAACTTTCATTAGAATAGAAATTCACTTTAATTTGTTTTTCTTCAGTCTTTGTGTTTGAATAACTTATAAGTCGCACAGTTCATACAGCCGTCATTTACCAGATTCTTGTGGAAAGATCGTGGGGGAATTGTGGTAATTAAACAAACAAATGTTAGGCATGATCTAATACATAAAATTGTTTGTTAATAGCCAATCACCAAATAGCAGTTGACATTTTGTTAACGACATAGCTTATGAATAAACAATAACCCTCCAACAACGCTCCCCAGACCCCAGTCAATCCGCAAACATTAAAAAAATACTTTTCTTTCTTTATTTTATGAAAGTAAATCCCTTACCATTGACAGTTCACTGCATACCAAAATTAACACGGTCCCTCTTTTTTGTGCCCGTCTTGTTTAAAGGGTCTGATGAATTTTCAAGGATCGTTCCTGCTTCTGACAAAGCTGCTCGGTGTGTAGTTGCAAAGAATCACATTACCCTGTACTTAGACCATTTCTCGGAATGGTGGATTATCTCCTTAATCAGGAGATACTTCATCGGTAAACGGCTCATCTGTACGCCATACGTTCCCCTGTCAACATCTAGAGACGTCATGAATTACATCCTGCTCAATATTAAAGATGACTTCTGCGGCATGAAAGAGGTAGATTTATCATGAATTAACAGTTCGGTATTGTTTTAGCTGAAAAAGAATAAATGTTAAAATGGACATGAAATCCTTTAGTAAGTCCATGTAACTTATGATATTTTTGTGTCTATAGCACTGGTATTGGGACAGAAACTTTGTTACCATGTTCATTGAAATAACTTTTTGTTTTGTCCCCGATCTTCCAGTGGTTACGATGTCAAACTAGTGTGTGTAACGTTTTCTGAGTAGAAGGGTCCGTGGACGGAGGGAAGGGAGGAGGGGGGGGGGGGTGGGGTCACAACAAATGTAAAACAAATCACAGATATAATATTAAAACCCGATAAACATTTCGCATCTTGAAGTAAATAACCAGCTCGAGGCTCGAGACTAAAAGATTCATCCAGAATTGCCGCCCGGGTGTATAAGAGTACCTTGCAATTGCTGTAGTACATTGCAGTGCCCTGTGGAAGAACAGCACTATTGCAATTATTGCAACTATTATTATCATTATTATTAATATTATTGTCATTAACATTCTGTCAGTGTTGATTCATATATGTTCAACCTTTTGTAGGATACAATACGAGACTACAAGGTAGCCTTTCCTGGTGAGCAGTACTGTGTATATTGGGGAAAAGGACCCCTTTTTGTCAGACATCTGGAAAACGAAGACGAAGTGTCAACACAAGTAAGATTATCCTGACAAACAATTCGTCCGTTTCCCATTCGGCATAGCCTTATATATATATATATATTTATCCTGGGGCCTCACAGTTTCGAGGCCATTGCTTTGCCACTGAATCATGACTGTACGCAACGAGGGTTAGGGTAGGGGGCAACCCCCACAAATAAAAACAAAACAAAGAAAATGCAATAAATTATCAATAAATCATTGAATTTCCCCCGGTCCCCAACAGGAACAAATCTTCTGTACGGCCATGCATTATAGTTCAAGGCATGGCCACAGAGGAATTTTTTTCTGCAGGAGTCTGGGGAAAAATGCAATGAATTACTGATATTTCGTAGGGTGTTAATTGATGGTTATCTCTGATTTCTTTAGGAACTTGAAGAATGTGCTTTCTTCCACATGACGACCCATCGGATGCCGTTCACTCTTTACCCACGTGAAGCATCTGAAGTCCCCGTCAAATTCATCTTGAAGCAAAAAATCACGAAGCGTATCGCCTTCAAAGTACTGTACAACGGTAATACCAAGAGCACGAACTCCTTTGGGGTAGGGGTGGCTTAAAGCGTATTCTTATGCAGTTTCAGGAATGGTTATTGGCCTGAGCTTCGGACAAGCTGTGACAAAACATCATATTTAACACAAACATAACATTCCACAAACATTATTTCTTTCTTTATAGGCATTTTAAATAAGCTGTGGAAGAAGACGTGAGATTTTACGAATTCAAAAAACGCATTTTTATTGATACTAAACAAAACAGCTCCTGAGAAACAAAAGAACTTTTTACCAGTTTTGTCGATCCTGGTATCATTTTTTCATGTGATATGATTATACTACCGCTGGTACTAGTAAATTTGACCAATATCATTGGAACTATGCTAGTCCGTTTAGAGAGGGCCACCCTGTATTATGTACATTATTTGTTTACGTGCAATGCTATACAGTTCATTTGGTGTAGCAAAAGTACCATGGCAAGTAACTCCAATTTGGAATAATAATCATTCTAGGCTAATCGCTTCTCATTACGTTGATATCATGTATTCACAATTTAGATGTGCCGCATGAGAATCCAATTGCCCAATCAACTCCGACAGGAACTGCATCGTCCAAAGGCAGAGCTGAACCCTCTGATGTTGCACGGGGAACATCCAAATGTAAGATTAGAAAAAATAAGTATTAATACTATTTTTCCTGTTTTTGTTTTTTGTTTGTTGGTTTCATACACAAACTTTTGTGTGTGTACAAAAATAAACGCTTTTAATGGAATGTGCTTGTTACAAGTTGAAGTTAAATTTCAAGTGTAAGTTTAACGGTTCATTGATACAAATCCACAAACAACAACAATACATTAGGACAAAATACATTCATCGTTACACAATACATTAGATCAGAATACACCTAAGAAACAGGTTCATGGGTGTAAGGAAATTAAAGTTGATTTAAAGTACATGAAAACATGTCCATATTTTGAGACAATTTGAACAACATAGACAAAATTACATTGTGAGGAGACTCACATAAGCTTTTAATCTTGCGATTTACTCTTATGAGTGCAAGATGAAAAACTTGTTTGTATTTGTGCTATTCTGATTTGATTGATTATTGTATTTTCAGCATCTCAGCTCCCCGAAGAGCAGACAAGAAGCGAGCATCATCTTGAAACGATAGGTTCGCCATCACCTGAGACTGCAGACACAAAGGGTAAGACTATAGCCCAAGGAGCGGTTCTAGAGGAATACATGTGTATGTTTATGTGTTGTTGTTTTTTCTTGTGGGGGGGGGGGGGGGCAGGAGGGGGAGGGGGTAGCAGGGGGTGGGATCTTCTATCATTCATTTTGTACATGTGCTTCTTATTTGGGGAAGGGGGAGAGGCATTAGAACCGCCACTAAAGTCCATATTCTTGAAATTAGTCTTTGTTTTAGATATTATTTAATGTCCAATCACTGTATTGTTATGCCGTATAATTTTACTCTGTAAATTGAACTATTTCATCTTTTTGCTAAATGTCCAATGATTTTATCTCAATCATTTCAATAACCCAAACTAATACAATATAATCCGAGGGTCGACTTGCGATAGATAACGGATCAGTCAGAGGTCTTAACAACACAGGGCGAAGTCTGGTTTAATCATTTTGTAAAAGCTTTTTTTTACGTTGCTTTTTTCAGATGAAAGTAGTCCTACTGAAGTCCGTACAAGGCCTAGGCCATTAACTCCATCATCGATAGAGTCACCGCCATGTGAACATGCCTACCAAGTCACACATGACTTTGTAACAGAGATAGAGACAGTTGGTAAGAAGCTGAAAGACAAAGTCGTGTTCTAGGCTCGGAAACAACACAAATGTTAATAGTACCTCAACAAAATTAAGCTTATCTCCTCTTATCAATCGTAATTTTAAGGTGACATTTGGAGTTATGTTACAGATAGTAACGAACGAAATCCTTCGGCAAAACAATATTGTTCGTAATTATGCTACACTCGATTCATGTGTAATAAGTTGGCAGGCTACCTGAAATGGTTGCTGGAACTTAACCCAGTTAATAATAACTTAAGCACTTTGGGAGCACAAATAATCGTGATATACGCTTATATCCTTAACACGCTCTTCGGAAATTCGAACGATATTATTGGTTTACGACATCATCTTTTTGTTCAAATTTGTTTTAAGCTCCGACATCATCGACAGTGCCCGTCCATTCATTAGAGTCTGCAGCAGAGGAGGTAATGGGTGTCTTAGCCCCACAAGCATTTGCGGCAAACGTTGTCCAAGAATTGGTTCCAGGACTTTCAGCAGATCGGAATATGCACCAGCGTCCTGGGAACGTCTATATCAACGTCCAAGGGATGGTCATCAACAATCCCCAAGGGAATAATCCTCAAGGAAATACTGTTGCCCATGCTCCTGTTGCAATTGCTTCCATAGTACCTCCTAGGCTACAGCATGAGCTGCGTTGCCGGTTGAACAGAGAAAGCCCAGTTTTTGGTGACTGGAGGGGTCTTGCCATTGAGCTGGGACTTGGAGACTACATACAATCACTGGAGCAGTGCAAGAATTCGACTGAAGAACTACTCGTTCTTGCTGAGAGTCAAAAGAAGATTCAGAACCTTGGGGACTTGGCCAAGGCGTTTGAACGCATGAATCGTGGGGATTGCCAAGAGCTCTGCGAGAACTACGTGTTTGAGAGAACAAAGACAGCTGATCCTCGGAAGGATCAAAAGGAAGATGATGACACTGACATCAGTGATTAGGGAACAGGCTCAATGTGTTCCATATCATCCTTTAATACAGGGTCTATGACTCGTTAATCAGACAACCTGTGAACATAGCATTATATGGTTGTAATCCATCAACTGTCTGTCATTTGGTTTAAAAAACCACAATCATTAGATTTGCTCGAAAAATATAAAGGTAAAGAAAAGGTATACTCTAAGGTTGGTATTCTCCTGATCATTTAAGCCATATATAGGGGGAAATATCATGTTTGATATAAAACTTAGATCTCAGACCAATTTCCTTTTTGAACCACTTTTTTGAAAAAAGTCTAAATCCAGCATCGTGTTAAAATATTAGAAAAATTCAGGCCTATAAAATTGACCAAACATTGGTTAAAGAGGAAATATGCATGTTTGTTGGGTATGTTACTTTCCAATATTGCGTAAACCTTATTCAATTTTGAGTACACTTACCTAGTATTGTGTAAACTTTGACCCTCTTATATGCTACGCTGCATCAAGATTATTACATCGATTGCTTTTACAGGAACGAAGAATTGAGATTCATTCTTGGCATATTCATCGATTTTAAAGGGACTTTGTAACATTGTTCAGATGAGAGATAGTGGTGCTAAGGCAATGACTTCAATGCTAGATGTACAATTAAAGATAATCTGAAAATTTGAGCGAAAACGGACCATTATTCATGGTACAAATTGGGAAAAACTGATCCGATCGATTCCTTAATTCTCCCAACTATATTATTACAATTTAATTACATTTTAGGTGAATGGAAATCTCACAAAGCAATAAAATGGCTCTACATTCTATTCCAGACATTTAAGTGTTGACAGATTTTTGATAGCCTGTTTTTATGTCTTTTACTTCATGGAAAAACGGTTGGGAAAATTCAAAAAATGGTTGGGAGAATTTAGATTCAGAAGCGCCGCGCATCGACGCCCGTTCGAAAACCCGTTGAACTTTGTTAAAAATCTTCATATTGCGTGATTTAATTTCGGATTTGGGGCATCGTAGTTGGATAATCCATACATACAAACATAATTTTCCGTGTTTTGCATCCTGATTCAACAGATTTGTGAAATCAACCATCACAATGTTACTAAGTACCTTTAAGAAAGCAATTTTGACACCATTAATCTTTATGTACTGCTAGCTAAACTCTTTAATTATGGCATTCGAGTTTAATAAAGATCCAGAATGTTCAGTGTGGTCAAACGTTATCTATAAGGAAAAATATAATATATGGTGTTCCACAATGATCAGTGCTAGGGCCAACTCTGTTTGTATCTATATAAATGATCTGCCAAGACTGCCATCAGTAACTGATTATTTCAATTTGCGGCTGTTTGCCGATGATTCTAATATAATTCATACTTTTCCAGCTCACCAGGGCGACATTAATGTGAATGAAGTAATGAACAACACATGGAAAATTGTAAAAAATAGTTATAAAGATTAAACTGAACATAGCTGGAGAGGAAATCCAAGCGGTTGATGTTACCACTTATGATAGAAATCTGCCATGGAATAGTCATATTCGTTATGTAAATCAGTGTATCAGGATTGCATCATTTCGTTCCTAGGCGTACTTTGAGAGTATCCATTATCATATAAAACGTGGATAAAATCACACAGGTGTGGGGAAGCAATATAAGGTTAGCCTATTAAGAAGCATATTGTATTCACAGAAAATAGCAGTTCGTGCTTTTTTCATTTAGAGAGTGAATTACTCATACAGCTCAACTACTTTCATATTTGATCTGTTGGATTAAAGTTTGTCTCATATGTTGATATATAGTGTATAGAGTATAGTTACTCCACAAGGCAAACAGAAGGTTAACAATTACGTCTGCCAAAATGTAGAACGACACATGGTTGATTTCCTTTGTCTCTTGTGGTTAGTTACTTGATTAATGTCAGATTAAGTTACAACACATTTGTTGAACAAATCATGAATCAAAAATCCATGCAAATAGTCTGTTTGTGTACAACAATTATATTTAGTATTTTGTAAGACATTGTTAAAGTTATATATTTTTCATAGTATTGATTGCAATAGTACATTAATTTCTTTGTTTGTGTTTTGTTTTCTGAAAGTTACTTGTACAAAATACATTGTTGAGCTGTGCATAAGGCGTTAGGGTCAACTAGCACATATGCTTTTATCCGCCCATTTTTACCAACCAATATTTTCTCTTCTTGTACATATAAATATGTATGAAATAAATGGTACTTATTTGCTGTTCGTAAATAAATCTATCAAATACAAAAATCTAATAAAAATAATAAACAGTGGCAGGATTGTAACCAGAAAAAATATATACATGTATATGGAAGTGAATTAACATCAACTCAAATCACATGAAATAAAATGAATTCAACATTTGAAAGTATCTAGAAGGAACCCCAGGTGTTAAATTTAATATCTTGTTTAAGATAATGAAAACAATGAGCTCCTGTGGCCATGAGCAAGGCAAGACCAGTGATTTTATTGCCTTTCATATGGAGTATCCTTTTTCTAATGTCATTAAAAAACAAAATATATATATGAGAGAGACAAAATCTTTATAAAAAAACAACTAAGGAAAGAAGAAATCTGCGAAATTAAAGGGGATCCCTCATAAAAAATGAACATTATTACGTTTTGCGTACTGACATCCTTCTCATTTAAACGTTTATTACAATGGGGTTCGTCTTTTATGTTTCTTTTATTCGACGTTTATTCTTCTTCATACTTATCAAACTGTTTATGTATACTTTATGTACATATATATGTTTAATTGCATTGGATTAATTGAACTTTTATGTATATCATTATGATATTCGTTATAGATAGGTATGATAGGCACTCCTTTGTTATAAAGTTCATTAATTTTGTGTGAAAGCAAACAAATAAGAAACTCATAATTGCAAATGTATAAATAAATCGGTCAAAAAATAAAGCAGTTATGATTGTTTGAAAAATGATATCTCTATATGCGAATCTCAAATTGGCAATTCGGTCAATGGATTGTGATGTATTCGTGGACAATTCTTTCATTTGTTGTGTACAAAAAGACCAGTATTGTCTGTTTTTTCTCCTAGTGCCTTCTTCCATGGGGCACTCCTACATACAATGTATTATGGATAGCATATAATATTATATATTTTAAATGATATGTGTTTTTATTTGTGTTTGAAATAAATTGAATCGAATTAAATTGAATCTAAAGTGAAAATTTCAGTTTGAAAAGAAATTACATATTTGCACACCCAATGACGTTAGAATACCAGTCATTCAAAAAGGGCATTGACTGGAAAGCGGTCTTATTCTCTTTCTGCCAAAATTATTTGTGTATGAAACCCGTGACTGATGAAGCATTGAGAGCTCTACAGAGTGAGTCAGAAAATATGTCCCACTTTTTAAAAGTTGTACTGTTTGAAGTATGTATATTTAATCATGGGTTTCATGATATGTCTTGATAGAGTTATCCTCCTAGTACATTTAGGTACCATTTTCATTTGAGTCTCTGCATGCATGACTGAACATCAGACAATCTTTACAAGACTGCCAGATCTCACTTGCGCCAAGTTACTGGGCAAGGAATAAAACAGTGCGTTGAACAAAGACAGTCGGACAGACGCAGACACACACACACACACACGCACACACACATGTATGCATACACACGAACACACGCACACACAGCACACACCGTGACAATTGTTTCATAATTTCCCCTTTTCTGATTAAGCAATGATTTTTTATCAAGATCGCGGAATGTTTAAGTGGCATAGCCCTGACAATATTTCCCTTTAGTACAAATTCACTACCCCCATCATGTCATCATCATCATCATTGTCATCATCTTAATCTTCATCCTCATCATCATGAAGCACAACATCCGCCAATACGCACTAAGAGGACAGCAGCCACTCAACTTTTCGTACGAGAAGAAGAATTCCCGACAAAAAGTAACAGTTTGGGTGGGCCTTGTCTGTCTGGCAGTCTGTGTTCAAAACACTATTTTATTCCCCACCTAGCTACTTGGCGAGTGAGATTTGGCAGTCTTGTAAAGAATGTCTGATGTTCAGTCATGCATGCAGAGATTCAAGACATATCATGAAATCCACGATTAAATATTCATACTTCACACAATACAACTTTTAAAAAGTGGGACTTTTTTCTGACTCACTCTGTAGAGCTCTCAATGCTTCATCAGTCACGGGTTTCATACACAAATAATTTTGGCAGAAAGAGAATAAATTGCTGAGATTATTACATGTATCATCCGTGTGTGTATTTGACAACAAAGTGAACGCTAATCAGTATACGCTCTTAGAATTAAATTGCATGTAGGTAACTGCTGGTTGTTTTTAGAGAATTACCCGATTCTTGGCAATGATTTTAAAAATTCAGCGCCACAGGGTTTTGAACATTCTAGGGCAATATATATTTCATACCATAAAGCAATACACGTTTGGGTGATATTCTGAAAACTTCAGACTTTTAGAATACTGAATAAGAGGTATGTTAAGGGTATTTCAACACACAAAAGAACCTTCAGCAACGACTTTCTCGGAGCCAGTACTCCAGTTTGTATACAATTTGATATGGGCAGACTTAGGTTATTTTGTACAGAAGTTAGAATATCTGTGGATGTTTGAGGTGATTTGAACCATGTGCTAATTACGAACTGGTCTACACATTATTCTACACAGACCGATTTAATTGTTGATGTTTATGTGTGACCAATCCTCTCTAACCTTATATCTCAATCATATAAATGAGACCGATACCAGACTACTCATCACGAAAAATATCCTCCTATTATACTTTTCTCATTCCCCCTACCCGTATTATCCAAATCTCTTTTCAAATTCATCAAAAACTCTAGCATTTTAAACACCTTTCCTCGTACTGGAAAATATACATTTGCAATGTATCATAATTTCTAAATCCTGTTAAATATCTTTCATTGGAATGTATTTTCCAATTTGATCTGAAACTAAAGAAAGAACCTTCAAATCTAAATGTGAATTAATCAACCCAAGAACACCTATTCTGTGTAAAGTACCAGGACTTAAATGACAACTTCCATCTCACATTAAACTCCATATATTTCTTACAACATAATATCTGCATATTTATCTTTGCACTCAGAAAATATCAGGGATCATTTGTTCTTTTCCCTGATTTCTTTTTCCTTTAAGGAAGGAAAGAAAAGTATAAGAAAGGATAGATTGTTAAAATCCATCACTATAACAATAACAAATTCGGAACACTTCTCTTTGGAGGACAGTGACATCACAATCACGAACCATAATATTGTCTGCTGAATGGAACAAAAAAATAAAGGTGATATTTAAATATTTATAGTCTCCAGAAGAAAATCCATGAAGAAAATTGAAGTGAACCATGTTTTTGTAATACTACGACAAATCAAATACAAATACATCCAGACCAGACCAGACAACCGATTATATTATCCACAGAGGCCAAACAAAATAGGTCAGTTTGAACTTTTTGGAGTCGGTGCGAAGTCGGTTTGCCAGTGTGACTGAGGGACCGATTCTCAGCGAGTTGGAGCAATGTAATTGTGTCTCCGGTCTGTTGTCGGTCTTGTATCTTCTGTCAGTTGAACTACCCGTGAATCGAAATTTCTCTATTTCATATGTAAAACTTATTTTAAAGAGCGAAGATGTTAGTTCATCCTCTTTTTACTAAAAGATTTCTGAGAATGTATTCAATATGAGAATTATGAAAGTTATGCATTTTGACCAAAGTATGAAGTGCATATGTACATGGAGAGAGGCGAATAATTGGCACTTCGTTAGCATCTTTTAATGCTTAATTGGTGGCGATACACTATCAAATTTGGACATAAATTCTAGAGAAATGAAGCGAGTACTCTACATCAGCAGTTTACAGCATTACACATGTAGAGTGTTAATGAAAAGCGATAGTAGAGATCGTATTCCTTTTCCTTTCTCTGTCCCTTTTATCTTTCTCTCTTTTCCCTGTTTTCTCTCATATTTCTTAGTATTCGATGTGTCTGAGTGTGTGTGTTTGTGTGCGTGGGGAGGGGGGGGGGCAGGTCAACCTAGCATTGGTTATGGATGAGTCGTAATGAAATATTGATCCGCCATGTTCTTTTTCTATCGCGCAGATCTAAAACCAGGTTTATTTCAGCCCCCCCCCCCCAATAAACAACAAATAAAGAGAAATTGCAAGGCAATAGAACTGTATTGTAGCAGAACGCAGTACAGTAATGTAGGCAGACTTCTAAAGCCGAATACAGAACTGAATGCAAAGTCCAATTTATGTATTGCTTTCATATAATCACGCTTGAGCGTTCCTTCAGAATAGACCAAATATCATCGCTACTAAAGGGTACGGGCTAATTTACACAGTAGTTTAATGTCACATTACAATAAGTAACATGGTGTTTGGAGAGCACGGTAATATCATAGAGAGAAAAACGTTGTGGGTGTGAATTACGTTAAACATGGCGCTCTTTTCAGCAGCAGCAAATGGAGACTTCCTGAAGATACAATCATTAATCGACTCGGAAGACAAGTCAGAGGATTCGGGAGGAGTTGATGTAAACTGCACGAATGCATCTGGCAAAACACCCCTTCACATTGCTTCGGAAAACGGACATTTGCAAACGGTTAAATGCCTCACCCACCATGGAGCAAAAGTGAATGTGATCGATGCTAACCTACAAACATCGGTTCATTTATGCTCGAAGAAAGGCCATCTTCATGTGGTACAGATGTTAGTGAACGAAGGAGCAGATATTGAAATTGGTGACAAAGATGGGTTTACAGCTCTTCACGTAGCATCATTCAATGGTCATATTGATGTTGTCAAATACCTTGTTACTAAAGGGGCAGAGCTGGAGAGACTTGGTAATGATTACTGGACACCTCTACACCTTGCTTTAGACAGTGGCCATCTTGATATTGCAGATTACCTTTTGACAGAAGGAGCCAACATTAACACATGTGGTAAAGATGGATATTCAGCTCTACATACTGCATCACAAACTGGTGATATTGATGTAGTGAAATATCTAACCAGTCAAGGAGCAGAAGTGGATAGGAGCACTGACGATGGTTGGACCGCACTTACTTTGGCTTCATTTGGCGGACGCCTTGACATTGTCAAATACCTTGTTAGTAAAGGGTCTCAACTTGACAAATGTGACAAAACCGACAGGACCCCCTTGTATTGTGCTTCTCAAGAAGGCCATTTTAAAGTCGTCCAGTACATCGTGAACAAGGGAGCAGGCATTGAAATTGGTGATAAAGATGGGTATACAGCTCTTCACATTGCATCCTTCAAGGGTCATCTTGATATTGTCAAATACCTTGTTAGGAAAGGGGCACAGCTTAACAAATGTAACAAAAACGACAGGACACCCTTGTCTTGTGCTTCCCAAAAAGGCCATCTTGAAGTCGTCGAGTTTCTTGTGAACGAAGGAGCATGCATTGAAATTGGTAATAAAGATGGGGTTACAGCTCTCCACAGAGCATCATTCAATGGTCATCTTGATATTGTCAAATACCTTGTTAGTAAAGGTGCAGACCCGGGGATACTTGCTAATGAAGAGGACCACTATGACTACCTTCGCAGTACGTTCGGTAGTAAGGCTCTCCCTAGCTTAATGACCCGCCCATACTCCCCAACATACGATCCATATCTTACCAGTAAACAAGACAGCTCTAGCTCCTCGAGGAAGAGTATCACAGAAGAGACAAAGATTATAAGTCTGGACGAGTACAGCATCAAGGTTCCAATTTCACCAGACGATGTGGACAGAGCCAAATATATCACAGCAGAAGCATTGACAACCATTCCACCTGACTTAAACCTGGAAAAAGACGAAGTTATCATCTCAGTTGGGCTCAAGCTATCCCCTCCTGGTCTTCAGTTTAAAACTCCGGTGGAAGTCACGGTCTCGCATAGCGCTATTTTCACCAACCCAGACAAGGCAGAAATTGTGCTATACACCCGAAGGACTGGTAAGATCTACCTTTTACCATAGATCCCATATTTCCATATAAATTCCGTTCTCTCGTTGTGACAGTGCAGAGAGCCCCTGACTACCACGACGACCTCATCACAATTATGACAGAGATCTTCACACAAAATTAATTCTTCCCTACTTTTCTTGGTATCACATGACCTCACTTCGACGTTGATATTCCTCTGAGAATGTTCTTATTCACTAAGTTTTACATGATCAAATTCTATTAGAATAGAAATTCACTTAAAGAAAAATTGTTTCAGTCTTTGTGTTTAAATAACTTATAAATCGCACAGTTTATATACAGCCGCTGTTTTCAGGATTCGTGTGGAAAGATCGAAGGGAATTATGAGAATGATTTAATGCATAAAACATGTTGTTAATAGCCAATCACCAAAAAGCAATTGTCATTTTGTAATGTCATTGTTCATGAGTAAAACAATGACTCTCCAACAAGGCTCCCCAGAAAACCCGCAAACTTTGCTTACTTGCTTACTTTGCTTAAGTCGGGTCAACTGCCCGAGCTGTGATGGCCATCCACACATTCCTGTCCAGCATGGCTGCTTTTATCTCTGACAGTTCAAGTCCCGTATCCTTCTTGAGTAAGTCTGTATAAGTAAGATGAGGTCTTCCAGGTTTCTTCTTCCCGTGTTTAGGCTTCCAGAGTAAAAGCTGAGATATTGGTTCATTGATGTTCCTACAGCTGTGGCCTGCAAAGCGTAGTCTTCTTTCCCTGATCTTTTCTGATACTTTTGGTAGATTCCCGTACAGCTCCTTATTGGTTATATGCTGGCTCCAGTGCACGTTAAATGCTGTCCTAAGAGGTCTGGTGTAGCAACCATCTAATTCTTTTGCCAGCTTTGTTGTAACTGCCCATGCTTCGCAGCCGTATAGAAGCACAGATTCAACTGTAGCAACAAACAAACGTTGTTTGAACTGCCTAGGAAGAGAAGATTTCCAGATTCTTCCAAGCTTGCTACACGCTCTCCATGCTGCTGACTTACGAGCTTTCACATCTTTTTCTGTGCTCACCATCAGTGCTCCCAGGTACTTGAAATCAGGTACTTTCTCCAACTGAGTTTCATCATTTGTTTTTATAGTGATGATCCCCCTGTGATTGAATGACATGAACTTGGTTTTGCCTGAATTCATCCGGAGCCCGACCTTGCCTACCGATGTCTCCACCCTGCAAAACTTGCAGAAAAATACTTGCTTTCTTTATTTGTGAAAGTAAATCCCAGAGTATGACAGTTCACTGCGTAACAAATAAACACGGTCCCCTTTTTTGTTTTCTTGACAGAGTCTGATGAATTTGCAAGGATAGTTCCTGCTTCTGACAAAGCTGCTCGATGTGTAGTCGCAAAGAATCACCTTACTCTGTACTTAGACCATTTCTCGGAATGGTGGATTATCTCCTTAATCAGGAGATACTTCATCGGTAAACGGCTCATCTGTACGCCTTACGTTCCGCTATCAACATACAGAGATGTGTTAAACCGCATCTATCTCGTCATTAAAGACGACTTCTGTGGCATGAAAGAGGTATATTTATCACAAATTAACGGTTCGGTATAGTTTTAGCTGAATAAGAATTTGAAGTCCATTTTTAACATTTATTGAATTTAAATGAAAGTTTAATTGTACAGGAAATCCTTTAGTAAGTCCATGCAACTAAGATATATAATAATTTTTTTTTGTTTGTATAGCAAACACTTGAAGTAAATATTTAGTGTATATTCAGTGCAATTATTGCAACTATTATTATTATTATAATTACTATTATTGTCATTATCATTCTTTCAAATTGATTCATATATGTTCAACCTTTTGCAGGATACCATACGAGACTACCAGGTAGCCTTTCTTGGTGAGCAGTACTGTGTATATTGGGGGAAAGGACCCCTTTCTGTCAGACATCTGGAAAACAAAGAGGAAGTGTCAAAAGAGGTAACAATCCCAATATAATTGTTACTGTTGTTTTCCCCGAAGAAAATTTTCCTGACAAACAAATCATCCGTTACCTATTCTGCAGGTCTTAATATATATATCTTTTACATTACCAAAGAAATAGAGCTTTCTTAAAGCGATATCGAACTGATGAACTTTCCACCTTAGCATACTGTTCATTGCACAACACCATCTCATTATAATATAATTTCAGGAAACTCGATTCAAACATGGGTCATGATTCATGATATAACATTTAAATTACGACAATGGCACCGTTCCCTATAACTTCGTAGGATATTAATTAATGGTTATCTCTGATTTCCTTAGGAACTTGAAGAATGTGCTTTCTTTGACATGACGACCCATCGGATGCCGTTCACTCTTCAGCCACGTGAACAAATAGTATCCGGAGTTCTCGTCACTCTCATCTTGAAGCAAAAAATCACGAAGAAGATCACCTTTCCAGTACAGTACAACGGTAATGTCAAGAGCATGGATTCCTTTGGGGGGAGGGAGGGGTGGGGGGGGGGGGGGCTTAAAGACTTCCACTGGCAGTGCTGGCAGAGAAGGTCGTATTCTTGTGCAGTTTCAGGAATGGTTATTTGCCTGAGCTTCGAACAAGCTGTGACAAAACATCAGATTTAACACAAAAATTACTTTCCACAAACTTTATTTCTTTTCAATGACTTGTGTAGTAAAGACATGATATCATACGAATTTAAAAAACGCATTTTTATTGATACCAGATGTAATGCTCACGAAAACAAAATTAAACTTTTTACCAGTTTCGTCGATCCTGGTATCATTTTTTCATGTGAAGAGATTATATTACTGCTTGTACCAGTGAATTTGACCCGACATCATTGATAGTTTGATATTCCGTTTATATTGGGCCACCCTGTTTGTGTCTATTCATTAATAATAATTAAGACACTTGAAATGAAAATGAAGCCGGTCACAATGAAGAAGAGAACTTTAAGGACTTTTATTTCTAGAATTGTTTTAATTATTATTTCTATATAATTATATATATAATATATATACATTATTTTTAGGTGCAATCATTTAGTGAATAATAGCAACATGGCAAGAGAGTCGAATTTGGAATACTAATCATTTTAGGCTAATTGCTTCTAATCACGTTGGTATAATACATTCACAATTTAGATGTGATGCATGAGAATCCAATTGCCCAATCAACCCCGACAGGAACTGCATCGTGCAAAGGCAAAGCTGAACCATCTGATGTTGGACGGGGAACATCCAAATGTAAGATTAGAAAAATTAGTATTAATACTTTTTTTGCCTTTTCTGTTTGTTTGTTTTTGTTTTTTTTCATACACAAACCTTTGGTATGCAGGGCATCGTTTCACGAAAGCGTCACGGGTATACAAGTGAAAAACGAGTGTAAAAATAACACGCATTCATGGAATTTCGGCGAGCTTGTTATATGAAGCAATTTCCTTATTGTAAAGAGACGATTGAAACGAAATCGAACAACTAACCATGTATTTGTGCTATTCTGATTTGATTGTGATTGATTATTGCATCATCAGCATCTCAGCTCCCCGAAGAGCAGACGAGAAGCGAGCATCATCATCTTGAAACGATAGGTTCAACATCACCTGAGCCTGCAAACACAAAGGGTAAGACTATGTCCTATCAGGAGCGGTTCTGGGGGAATACATATATAGTTATTTGAGAGGGGGCACAGGGGGGTGTAGGAGGTGGGGTCTTCTAGCATTCGTTTTCTACATGTGCTTTTTTTTTGGGGGGGGGAGAGGGAAGCTCTAGAACCGCTACTACGGCCTATATTCTTGTAATTGGCCTTTTGTTTTGAATATCCTGTAATGTATTATCAATGTTTTTCTAATCCGTATAATATTTACTCTTTCAACTGAACAATTTTTGCTTCATGTTCCATGATATCATCTCATTGATGTCAATAAACCAAAATCATACAATATAATTCGAGGGTCAACATGCGATAGATAACGGATCAGTCAGAGTTCTCCACAGCACAGGTCAAAGTCTGGTTTTAATCATTTTCTAAAACCTTTTTTTTACGTTGCTTTATTTCAGACAGAAGTAGTCATGCTGATGTCTTTACAAGACCTGGGCCGTTTACTCCACCATCGGTAGAGTCACCGTCAATTGAACATGCCTACGAAGCCACACATGATTTGGTTACAGAGACAGGAGCAATCGGTAAGGAGCTGAAAGATAAAGTCGTGTTCTGGGCTCGGTAACAACACAAATGTCAATTTTATTGTATCTCACAAAAATTAGTCTTATCTCCTCAATCAATCGTAAATTTAAGATGAATATTTACTGACACTTAATTTTACGCTAAAGATATTAACGTACGAATTAACATCCTAATAATTAGTGGGTAGGCTACCTGAAAAGGTCGCTGGAACTTGACCGGGGTAATAATATTCTAGTCCTTTAGGAGCGCATATATTGTGATATACGCTTATTTCCGGCACATGCTCTTCGGAAATTTGAACGATGTAATTGATTTACGTCATATCATCTTTTGTTCGTTTTGTTTTAAGCTCTGACATCATCGCCAGTGCCCGTCCATCCGGTAAAGTCTGCAGCAGAGGGTACAATGGGAGTCTTAGCCCTACCAGCATTGGCGAAAGACGTTTTCAAAGAATTGGGTCCAAAATTTTCAGAAGATCAAATGCACCAGCGTTCTGGAAACTTCTATTTCAGCTTCCAACAGGTCCAATTGAATAATACTCAAGGAAATACTGTTGCCTCTCCCCCTGTTCCCATTACTTCCATAGTACCTCCTAGGCTACAGCATGAGTTGCGTTGCCGGTTGGACAGAGAAAGCCCAGTTTTTGATGACTGGAGGGGTCTTGCCAGTGAGCTGGGACTTGGAGACTACATACAATCACTGGAGCAGTGCAAGAATCCGACTGAAGAACTACTCGTTCTTGCTGAGAGTCAAAAGAAGATTCAGAACCTTGGGGACTTGGCCAAGGCGTTCGAACGCATGAATCGTGGGGATTGCCAAGAGCTCTGCGAGAACTA